TTTTTTTTTTTTTTTTGAGAGGGCATCTCTCATATTTATTGATCAAATGGTTGTTAACAACAATAAAATTCAGTATAGGGGGGTCAATGCTCAATGTACAATCATTAATCCATCTCAAGCCTAATTCTCGTCAGTCTCCAATCTTCTGAAGCATAACGAACAAGTTCTTACATGGTGAACGAATTCTTACAGAGTGAATAAATTCTTACATGGTGAACAGTACAAGGGCATTCATCACAGAAACTTTCGGTTTTGATCATGCAATATGACCTATAAACCATCAGGTCAAATATGAATATTCATTTGATTTTTGTACTTGATTTATATGTTGATCCCACATTTCTCCTATTATTATTATTATTTTTATTTTTAATAAAATGCTGAAGTGGTAGGTAGATGCAAGATAAAGGTAGAAAACATAGTTTAGTGCTGTAAGAAGGCAAATGTAGATGATCAGATGATCAGGTGTGTGCCTATGGACTAAGTATTAATCCAGGCTAGACAAGGGCAGCAAGAGGATGATGTGATTTTAGTTTGGTTTAAGGAGGGATGCTTAACACTGGCTACACTTTAAAATAGTGTGGGGGCATTTAAAAATTCCAATGTCCATGCTCTATTATGTGAAGCTCAAAAGTAGACAAAACATCCCGACTGTATGAGGAACTCTGCCCCTCTAATAATAAGACAACATAATTTAAAAATGGGCAAAAAAAATGTGAATAGACTCATCATAAAAGAATACAGGCAAATGGCCAGTAAGCACATATGAAGATGCTCAATATGATTTGTCATGAGAGAAATACAAATTAAAACCACATTGAGATACCACTATATACCCACTAGAAGGACTAAACTTTAGGCTGACCATACTAAGTGTTGACAAGGATTTGGAGCAACTGGAACTCTCATACACTGCTGGTGGGAATGTAAAATGGCACAGCCACTCTGAAAAACAGTTTAGCAGTTTCTTATAAAATTAGCATAGATTCACCATACATCCTGACATTTCCACTTCTAGGTTTTTACCCAAAAGAAATAAAAGCATATATTCACACAAAGATTTTCTTGTATATGAATGTTCATATCAGCTTTATTCATAATGGCCAAAAATGGGAACAACTCAAATGTTCAATGACAGGTAAATGTATGAACTGTGGTCTAGCTATACAGTGGAATACTACCCAGCAATAAGAAGGAATGAACTGATGAGATGAAATCTCTAAAAGGTAGTATTAAGAAAAAAAATCAAACACAAAAGACAACTTACTGTATGATTCCAATTACATGAAATTCCAGAAAAGATAAAACTGTAGTGACCAAAAGCAGATCACAGCTTGCCTGGAATTGGGTCAGGCAGGACATTGACTGCAAAGGGGTACAAGGGAACTTCTTGATGTGGTATGAATGTTCTGTCATTGTGATGGTGGTAGTTTGCACATGTGTATGTATTTATCAAAGCTCATTTGCACACATAAAATTGGTGTATTTTACTGTAAGTAAAGTACATTTCAATAGAGCTGATTGAAATTATAATAGAAAAACTCATCTTCAGTGGCAGTCAGAATAGTGGTTGCCTTGGGGGACAACTGACTTGAGCGGCCATGAAAGAGCCTGCTCAGGGGTAGGAAGTGCCCTACCTGTCTGGGTTGGCACCACAAGGGTGTGTACTGATATAAAGATTCATTGCACTACACACTCAGGATTCATGCACTTTACTGTGTATAAATTATACCTCAATTAAAATTATACTTCAGCTTTTAAAAGTAATAATGTCTGGGCCCCATTCCTAGAAATTAGAACTTAATAGATCCAGGGATGTGCCCAAGCATTTCTATATCCTAGGGACTCCTAGGAGATTCTAATGTTCCACCAGCTTTGAGAGTCACTGTTTTTAGGGACAGGAAGGAATGAAGTGTTGAGTCCAAGTGATGGGAGTATTCTGATGCCATTCAAAGTCTGGCACATTTATGGCTTGGGGAGGATGGTCCGCTCAACTTCGGTTTTCAGAGGATTTAAATTGAGGGTGAATCTTCTGAGCTTCTAGAGGGATCCATGCAAACCTAAGCAGAGTTGGAGGCTGTAGACAGCTCTATGTGCTGAGCACTCTTGGGAAATGTGTGTTTCATGGCATTTGCTTCAGCTTAGGCTTTTCTTCCAACTCCTAGGGCAAGATGGCAGCAGATGAAGGCTCACAGGATACCTTGCGGCTCCAGTTCAAGGCCATGCAGGAGATGCAGCACAAAAGGTTACAGAAGCAGATGGAGAAATGGAAGGAAAAGGAACTGAGCCTCAAAAGCAGAACTGATGACCACAAAGAGCCCTTGGAGATTTCCAATGGCCTCAGCCTTCTCCAAGCTGGGGAGCAAAACTCAAAAAACAGCTTTGAGCAGAGGTAAATGCAAGTTTGAACTCTCCTGGCAGCACTGCAGGGAAGTAGGGATGGTGGGAGAGAAATGATTGCAGACAGACAGTCAGGCTGACTAGTGTGTTTATCAATTGAAACACAGAGATTTTGAAACAGAGGCTGTCATTGAAGACTCTTGCATCTGATAGAAGATCTGTGCTCCTGTGGACGTAAATTGATATGAAATGTGTTTTAAAATCATTGAAGTTTTGAAACTCACCAGGGTGTAGTTTACTCACCTGAATTTTTTATGCAGTCTATCTTTCATGAAAACTGTGTTTGAGTTTCTAAAGAGCTGGTGGGCTGACTCAGGATGACCATGGCTCCAAACCTCACCTGGGACTGTTCTTCATGCCAGTTTCCCCTTCCTGACCCATAGTGACATATAAACATACCTGTCCAAATAAGTTCTTGATGGGTTCCTTGCTTTTTCACATTCGGTGAAGAGGTTGAAAGGAATCCAGAATCTTCTCTTTTTGCTCTAACTTTGACAGTGTCACACAGATGCATATTGATGTATACTGGTTATTAGAAGCAGGAGTCTATATTGATACAAAATCCTCTGCTAGTCAAAAAAAAAAATCACAAGAGTTGCTGAGTTCTCTCATGGCTTCTGGTTTTGCCCAGAATATGTTTTCTCTATCTTTAGATTCTACTTTTTATCACTTTTCAGTATTCAAAATGCTCTACTAAAAAATGCTAATTGGAAAAAAAATAAAGATTTCTCAAAAATTGCAAAACCTCCTATGTCTTCTAAATATTACCCCTAAATTAACTCCAGACCTATTTCTGAAAGCTCTTTCCCCACATAAGAGAAACTGGAATTGGTAGAGGCTTGAGCCATTAGTGGAATAGCAACAACAATAATGATAATGGCTGTTACCTAATAATTACTGTTATTTATAACTTCTGTAACTTACTTACTTTCTGCACAACTGTCTCTAGGGAGCCTATTCCATGCCTAATGGTAGACATGATCATAGACCCATCGGTCACATATTTCTCACATTTTAAAATTCTGTAAAGAGCCTGGCAACACAACTCCTAATACACAAAACCAACCACCCGTTCTGATTTTCTGTCCAGCATACCTGAAACCTGGAGACCTTGGTTTGACCTCAGGTTTAGACAATTCCTATGTGGTCTTCCAATATCTATATGTAGCTAAGACTATAAAGTTTCTTCAAAGTATCACTTTAGCCGCATTTCAAAAGTTTTGATATTTTGCTTCTGCAGTCAGTCTGTTCTAAATGCTTCATAATACACATTATGATTTCTTCTTAACCCATAAATCATTTAGGAGTACCTTTTTTTTTGGTCCCAAACATATGATGGGTTTCAGGTTTTATTTCTTGATTTTATTTTTTGCTGTATTTTTAATATTGATTTCTAATTTTAATCAATTGCCATTGAAGAAAAAGGTCTGTATGATGTTCACTATATGGAATTTGCTAAAATTGTCTTTGTAGTCTATAATATATTTTTATGCATATTTTTATGGATGCCTGAAAGGAGTATGAAATCTTAGGGTAAGGGGTTTGTATAGCTCTCTCTTGACTCCATAGCAAACAATGTCATTCAAAATTTTTTCTAATTTCACTTTGTGTGTGCATGCACACATGCATGTGTAATTCACTCAGTTTTGAGAACAGTATGGTAAAATCTGCTCGTTGAGGTTTCCTGTTTTGTATAGACCAATACTTATCATCACCCAGTGCCCGACCATGCACAGTGAACCGGTGGAGGCCTGACCCCTGCCCACCCACCCCTGTAACTCGGCCTTCACCTTGTAGAGTGCTTCAAGATGAGCTCGAACAGCTTCGCCACCAGCTCAGGGAAACAGTGGATGAGAACGGGCGACTGTATAAACTGCTGAAGGAAAGGGACTTTGAGATCAAACACCTCAAAAAGAAAATAGAAGAGGACAGATTTGCCTTCACAGGTATGTTGTGACAGTTCCTGCTCTTAAGTCCAGCTGATCTGGCCCCGCTGTCATTGTGCCCACTGGGCAGAACACACAGTAGGTTCCAGAGGACAGGTGCCCTAAGGAGAGTCCAGGGTCAGCAGGGGTCAAGCCTGTTCAGATGAGTCCTGGAAATGAAGGAGAGGGCAGAGGAAGAGAGCAAGCCAAGGAGGCCAGCACACCAAGAATGGGAGTACAACAGCAGGGGCAGCAGGGCAGCTGGGAGTGCTGGTGACCCACATGGGACTCATGACAAGGGTTCTCTGGGATGCATGATGCATGGTCTATGGGCCAGCAGGATCCATTTTCTCTTGGTGGTCTGGCTCAGATGTCGTATCATGGGTGTGAAAAAGCCCTGGCAGAAGCAGGCATTTACTCTACAGCACTTGCTGCTCCAAAAAGGTGGAGGAAACAGGAAGTTAGCTGTTTGGGGCTATTTCCTGGGACTGAGCAGAGACAAGAGTGGACCTTGGCCATTCAGGTCTGGGCTGGACCTAGGCTCTCCTGGTGGGGACCTTGGTCCTGTGGGTCTGGGGATGACCGTAGCCCTGTGGGTGTGGGTTTGGCATTGGCTCTGTGGTTATGAGCTAGACCTTGGCCCTGTAGATCTGGTGGGGACTTTGGCCCTGGTTGTCCTTTGTCCCATATATATCCATTGAGCAATTCCCAGGTGACTGACTAATAAACCGGAAATTTGGTGTCCCCAGTCTCAGAGAGCAACAGGCCTCACCCGACATCTGTTGGAGCATCTCTCCCTGCCTTTGAGAGCAATGCCTTTAAGGGTGGGTACAGATAGAGGTCCCGTGCTGAATTTAAAAGCAAGGGGAATTTGGTGACATAAAGGCCCTCGGTAGCCTATTGCTCCTCACTACATTCTTTGGCTTTTTCTGTCTGAAACAAAAACCACAATTAAGAGGAATCTCTGTGTTGTGAGGAAGAGCAGCACTCCCAACCTCCCTCAGGTTTCAGATGTGAAGGGGCAGCTTGCACTGTTGTAAAGCTGTAGAGAAACTGATGGGCTCCAGGGAGCCAGCAGGAGATGCCCACCTCGCTACTTCAGAGGACCAGGGAGACAGGCCCTGGGGCTTCTCCCTCTTTGCCAGCCTGCCCTGCGCTCTCTGTCTTTGCTGTCTCTGCCATCTTGCTCACCTCATCTGATTGCCAGTCCTAACTCACCTTTAAGATCTCTTAAATCCAGTCCTCACTCTGAAGTCTTGATTTCTGATTTCCAGATTCTCACTTTAAAGAGAAAACACTGACTGGCTCAGTTCATGTTTTCAACCAGGCCACAAGTGACACACTGCTGACAGCAGATAGACTGGTTTTCCTTTGGTTGGATTTCTAGTGATTGCTTTAGTTTTTTTAAAACTATATTTCTTTGTATAGATTTTTAGTGATTGCTCTAGTGATTAAAAAATACATACTTAACTTTTCAGAATTTACTGAAAATTAGTATTTCACCACTTCAAGTAGAATGAAGAAACTTTCCCCTATACAGATCCCTTTACCCTCCCCTTTTGTATTAAAGCTTTTATATGTACATCTATACATATAAATGTTATACCCCACCAAATTTTATATCTGCTTTTATACCACTATACAATACCATTATACATATTTAGACAAAAATAGTCTATTACATTTACTCAAATATTCAGCATGTCTGTGCTTGCCCATTCTCTGCTGCCCCATATTCATGGGGTTGTAGCTTCAAAGTGGGGCCTGGTTGGGAGAGAAGAGAAAAAAAGCGAGGTTTTCCCCATTCTCTCTGAGCCCGCATCCTGCCCTTTGAACTAGAGAGGGCTTCTCTTGGATCTTTTTCTAATGTCTAGTTCCAGGATTTGAACTGCTTTTGAGTCCTGGTAGGAAAACACAACCCAGAAAACTCACCACTGGACCATCTGTACTTCCAGGCATGGTTTCCTTCCCCCTGTTCTGAGCCCTTTCTCCTAATGTGTCCTCAGCAGATGAAAGGTTGCTGAGGGCAGCTACTCCTACTTGCCCTACTCATTGCCTGGCCAGGCCAGCAGCAGCAAGCCTGGCTTCATTAATCTGAAAACCATCAAGCACCTTCATTTACCTTCCACCAGCTGTCACTGTCTGTCTTGTGAGGCGCATCACAGTCATGTCAAAAAGTAGGCCTAAGAAGGTGCCTCCACCAGTCACCCACTGCTAGAGTATCGGAGGCATTCAAGGAACTTGCAAACTATCTAACTACACCTGCTGTCACACAGATGCGGAAACTGACCTCCAGAGAGGGCTAGGCACTGCCTGAGCTCTGGCTGCCTGCCCTTAGCACAGCCCCACGCCAGGCGGTATCCCCCATTTTATACCCTTCCAGCTCTCTCTTCTACAGCCTCCTGCCCTTGCCCACTGTGCTCCAGCTTCTCTGGCCTGCTTGATGGGCCTCAGATATTCCAAGCTTGCTCTTGCCTCCAGCCCTTTGCACTTGCTGTTTCTTCTTCTTAGAACACTCTTCCTAGTTGAGAGCACTCTTATTCATAGCTTGATCCCTCACTTCATTCACCCAGGTCTCTGTTCACATGTACCTTCTCAGAGAGGCCTTTAGAACCACTCTAAAATAGCATCACCCCCATCCCTCCAATCCTCTTGCCCAGCTTCAGTTTATTTCATAACACTTATTCCTCCTAGATACTAGAGTACATGTTTACTTATTTTTTTTGTATCTGTCTCCCCTGCTCAAATGTAAACTCTGTAAGTCTTTTTTACTAGCCATTGAATCCCTAATTCAGAGTGTTCAAAGCTTGGTAGAAATCCAATAAATATTTACTGAATGAATGCATGCGTTTGTATTGGTTAGATATTACCACAGAATTCTGTAAAAAAAAAAAAAAACAACCACATGATCTCAGTAGCATTCAGCAATAAGCATTTAGTTAGCTCAAATATTTAGGGGTTCATGGGGGATCAGCTGATCTAGGCCAGGCCTAGCCAGGGTGGTTCAGCTTTGTTCCACATGTCTTTTTCCTCTTCCTGGGACCAGACACCTGGCCTGGATATGTTCTTTTGGAGATGGCATAAGGAGTTTTATATAAAAAGCAAGTTTAACGGCACAAGTGCTTTTCAAGCCTCTATCTGCACCTTATCTGCTAACATCCCATCAGCCAAAAGAAGTCAGTGATTGAGCCCATAGTCAGGCAGGCATAGAGGGGTGGACGGGGTGCAGTCTCCTCACTGGAGGGCACAGCCAACTTGCAGGGTACAGGAACATCAACTTAACTCCCATAGAATTAGAACTCTGCTTCCTGATTTTTTGATTTTCCTAGAACATATTGAATCTCTAAGTGGCTGCATTTCCACTCATTAGAGTTGGGTTTCAGGGTGCCTAGGTATGTATTGACTCCCCTGAGCTTCTGCCCTTTTGTTAGGGGTCACACCAAGCAGCTTTAACTTTTAAAACCCTGGTGCTGTTGGCAGCATGGCAGGAGTTCAGTGTGTGAGCCTGTGATTTTAACTGACCTCGCTGTTTTCCTGCATTTTAGGGACAGCAGGTATGGCTGGGGATGTGATGGCCACCAAAATCGTCGAGCTGTCCAAAAAGAACCGGGTGCTGACAGCAGAGTCAGAGGGTGCGAAAAGCAGAGTGAAGCAGCTGAGCAATCGCATCCAGGAGCTGGAGGTGGAGGTAAAGGGCCTCGGTCATTCCTGCCTCTAGAGGGGACTCCCTGGACCCAGTGCCACTCCTCCAGAGAGAGAGCCACACCTAGATGCTTTGGGTCCTTCTGAACGGCTGTGAGTCATGTTTGCAAAGAGTTCTTCAGTCTTTGTACATCCTGAGAAGGCAATGTGTGTTGGGAAGCAAGGAGGGTACAGGACACAGAGAGGCAGCCCAGCATAATAGTTAGGACACAGACCTGGGTGTGTGTCTCAGCTCCACCACAGATATGCTTTGTGACTTTGAGCAAGTTATATACTTTCTGTGCCTCATTTTCCTCCATCTATCGTAATAATAGTGCTCACCCTAAGGTTTTCTAAGGATTCAATGACTTAACATTGTAAAATGCTTAGAATGATGCTTGACATGTAGTAAGCACTAAATAAAGTTTTGTTAAATAAGTTAACAGGGATCCTTGCTAATTTGAGGCTAGAGCCAGGATCATTCTCACTTTGTCCATCTTCCTCTTTTTGCTACCCTGTCTTCCCACAGCTAATCACAAACCCCTCCAGTTGAGCAAGGGCACAGCCCAAGCAGCTCATGGTCCCTTAGGAGCTTGAATGGAGTCCATGTGCTAGAGAGAACCTACATAGCTACTTCTTATATGGCTGGAGGAGCTGGAAGAGCTTAGGAAGCCTTCTCGAGTGCACAGTATGTGGTGGTGCTGGATTTCAGATCCACTTCCACTGCCTTCCAAAGTCCTCCCCAGTCACTATGCTTGGCATTGCATCAGAGCTTTGTTCTATAACATATTGTTTGAGAACAATCTCAGCTCTGTGGCAGGCCCTGGGGAGCAAAATAGGTGTGGCCCTTGCCCTCCTTGGAAACAGCCCAGCACCAATGGCCTCTTAGAGGAGGGGACATACACAGTGGGTGCCTGGAGAAGGGACCAAACTCCAAAAGGTTGGGGAGGGGTCTCCGTGCAGACGGTCTAGCAGGTACAGAGTCCCTGAGTGGGGAATAAGGCCTCAAAGGAGACCAGTGTGGCCAAGAGTGGAACAAGATAGGGTCAGAGAGGTGGAAGGGCATTCATACCCAACCTCATCAGACAGGGGATGGTCTTTATGTGAAGAACAGTTGGGAAGCCCTTAAAGGGTCAGTTGGCTGTCTTTACACAGTGATGTCTTGGCTACCAGGCTGTGAGCCCATGTGGCAGGCTTCTCAGTGTCTCTGGTCCTGTCTCCCTGTCTGAACACGAAGTCCCTAATTCCTTCACCCTCCACCTCCCAGACTGTTATCAGAACTCCAGGATACTGCAGACCGTGACTGCAGTCCTGTTATTTATTAAGCTGTTAGTGAGTCCTAGTGCTGCTCCGGGGAGCAAATGGGAAATGGGGTGACCAATACAGTCCTCTGCCATCACAGAGCAGTTTGTACAGGAGAGTTCCTCCATCAACGAGCCTTAAGTGAGCTGGAAGGATAAAGCACCAAGGTCAGCGACCTTGGTACCCAAGGCGGCACCAGAGAGAGCACTTCACTCAGACACCGTGGTTGTCGAACAGAATTAAATATTAAGTGAGGTTTGCTTTTCCAGCTGCAGGCCGCCCCAGCCAGGCTACCAGCCAAAGGCACCGCCAACGCAGGAGCCAAGCCACCAAAGGCCCAGACAGGAGGCGGAGCTGTGGTATGAGTTCTCTTCTGTCCTGGGGAGTCTGTGAGGTGGCTGTCCCTGGGCTCTGTCCTCTTTGGGCAGGTAGGTGCCTCTGCCCAGGGTCCACCTCCACCCCATCACTGAGCCAGTGTCCCCTGCCGCAGCATCCTCTGAGCTGCCATCCGGGAACAGTACTCAAGGGGATGACCTGAGGCCAGGAGTACCCCCGTGGAGGCCTGTGAGGTCTCCAGAGAGAGAGGTCGTGTTGGGGTGTGGGGGCCCCGGGGAACCCTGGAATGTCAGGGCCAGGGAGCAAATTCTGGTTCAGTTGGCCTCCCACTCTCAGCCTAGCCCTTTCCTTTACAGCATCCTCAGTGGGGAGACATCCAGCCCCTACCTTACCCCTGGTTCAGGGAGCTCACGTCTACCCAATGGAGCTCTGCTTTTTGGGGAGCAGTTCATATTTTAAGAAGTCTTCCTATTGTGGAGCTCAAAATCTGCAGAGTGAACATCAGGGCCTTGGGAACTGGGGCTTATGGCCCAGAGTCTGTTTTTCTAAGCCAGTGAGAGACAGTGAACCCAGCATGGGGGACGGCAGCTCGGGGAACGGATGGCCGTCTGGCTCAGCAGCTGCCAGGGGCCAGGGCAGGGGTTATGGAGCCCAAGTCAGGTAATAAATAGCATCAGTCTCAAGCACATCCCTGGAGGCCTCCCCAGGGCTTCTCTTGGGAAGCCAGACCAGCAGGGGCATCCAGCCCCACTGCCCATCCACTGCTCCTCCTTCGGCCCCACCTCCTCTGCTCCCTGAACCTCGGGACCAAGCCACCTCATGCCTGTCTTGAGAGAATTCAGTCCTTCTTGTACGGTGATAGGCCCCTCAGCTTCTGGGGGTAGATGCGGAGTGAAGGCTAGTCTTGGATAGACCTGTCTCATTGCCAGGAAGGTCCTGGAGGGGCTTGAGACTTGCAGGGGTGTCCCAGGGCACTGCTGACCCTCCCTGGGCCATCCAAAGCAGTGAGCACCTCTATGTCCCTCACTAGAGCTGCCCTTGATGGGAAACCGCCTGTTCAGTCACTTGTTGAGCCTGACAGGATTTTCTGAGCCTTGTGACACAGGGAATCAAAGACAGGGTCTCTGTTCATGGGGAAGTCCGAAAGGGGTGATGAGTAGACATACTGAAAAAAGGAAGGGGATAGGCCTTCAGAGAAAGCCCCAGACTCTGAGTTCACAGGGGGAGCACCCCCCACCTGAGGCAGCCAGGAGGTGGGGTGAAAGAGGGGTTCCCGAAGCAGGCCTAGTTGGAGAAGGAGGTTGGGGGCAGGCCTCCCAGCAGGAACCCCACAAGCTAAGGCTGGGAAGCCAGGAACACTCAATGTTCCTACTCTGTTTGCTCACTGGGGGTCAACTAAATAATGTTTGGCTGCAGCCCAGAACCCATGAGAGGGACATAAGCCAAACAAAGCTAGGGTGGGGTCACCTATGGAGGGAGGACTTGAATGGCAGCTGGAGCAGGAGTTTCAGCTTCATTCTGTGGCCACACGGAGCCTGGTAGGTTTCTGATAGAAGAGTGGGTGATGGGCTTGGGTCTCAATTCATCAACAGACATTTTTCCAGGGCATCTTCTGGTCAGAAAGACAACAAAAACAATGTTCCCCCACATCAGACTGTGAGGGCAGCCCAAGCCCGAGCTACACTCCAAGGCCTGGGGGCTCACTCCACAGCCTGACCCCGATGGCGAAGCACATTCCCGAGCGGAGCTGTGTGCCCCGTCTCCCCTGGGCGCAGAGCTCCCAGAAGCTGTGGTAAGGGCAGCACTGGCATCGTCTACCCCTCCATGGGCTGCATTTCAGTTATTCCCTCAAGGAAAGTAGTCCCCAGTGGGAAAGGATTATGCCAACCTCCAAGTCCCTCAGAAAGCCTGGAGGACTTCACCCTGGGCAGAAGCAGCTCTGAAGTGGCAGGGAGAGAGGGTTGGCCCAGTTGTCCAGGAGGGAGGACTGGGCCCGGAAGAGTGGCCGGGCTCCGGAGTTTGGGGGCACTACGAGGAATGGCTGCTCTTGCACATGGGCCCAGTCTTCACAAGAACACTGCAGCCTCCTGTACCAGCTGCCCACCCAAGCCAGGCTTGGCAGCCCCAGCATTGCCCTCTGCCAGAATCTGCCCCACACAGCATCCTTTACATGCATTATTTTATACCCCCACTTTACAGATGAGGAAACAAGGCTTGGAGGGGGTGTTGTTGCCTGGGTGCTAATCCATGCCCAATCTGTGTGCTCTTGCCATGACGCCAGCAGCCACAGCAGTTGTGTGGGAAGCTCATATACTCCCCCAGCTCCCACACCACCACCACCCATCAGAGCCCGTGGTACTCACAGCACCAGAGTCTGACAGGCAGGGGGCAAGTGCACAGCCTGGCGCGGCGGGAGACAGCACCAACCAGCAGTGAGGAGAGGTGGCACGCGGCCAGATAAAGGAATGTGTACACCCTCAGATAGATGTTTTTTTTAAAAAAGACACATTTGTGTTTTATATACAGTTTACAAATACTGTTCTCATTGGTCATCCTATCGGCCTCATGGTGGTGCTGTGAGGAAGCAGGATGGAGAGGCATTTTTTACCCATTCCACAGATGAGGAAACCAGATGAGGTCAGGCTTTCTGGACTGTGCATTCATTCCCTGACTGGTGGTGTCTGGAGCCTCTGGGGTCCATGGCAGGTCCCAGACCCTGCCTGGCTGGCTCTGGCACTCACAGGAGATTCTGCCTGTGCCTGACAGGGAAAAAGCAGCCGGCCACTGCAGTGCTGCCCTGTTTCCCAGAAGTTCAGCCCCCTGGTCTGTGAGGACAGGAGCAGGTGGTCTCTGCACTGCTGCCGATGGGACACTCAACACACTCACCAGCGGTCCTGCTGCTGTGATGCCCAGGCGTCAGCAGCACCTTGCAGTGGGACAGTCTGCTAGTGCAGGGGAAGGATTGGGCTTCTGATCCCACTTATGTCATCCCCAGCCAGCTGTGTGCCCAAGCACAAGTTGCTTCCCCTCTCTGGACCTTATTTCTATCCCTGATGGAAGAGGTTTGAATGGGCTGACCTTGGAGTCCCTTTAATGCCAAACTTCTGAAGACAAGAACTTCTGAAGACAGGGAAGTGGGCAGCACATTTGAGAAAAATTTATATCCAAATAGTTTAAATCAAACATTACTTTTTTAAAAAAGACATTGCTAAGAGTTCCAATAGGCAGAGTTTTCATGTTGCTGCAGTTCCTCAAGCCACAGAAATGGACAGTTTGGGGATTAAGCTGGGCCCTTATTTCTGTTCAGTGGACTGATTGCCAGGGAAGGAAGCCCACCCAAAGCCCAGGCTGATGGTTCCAGGAGAGGGAGCCCTGAGTGAGGATGGTTGTAGCCCACCTGCCCAGCTGGGGTTGCCGCTGCTGATGAACTAGTTCCCTCTGTAGCCCGAGGATGGTGTCACTGTGATGCGCAGCAGAGAGATTTCCCACCTAGGACGTGCCTGCGATCTGTGGAACTGCAGGCCACCTCCAAATTCTCCACCTCTGTGGCCACTGCATGCATCTGCATGAGTATAATACTGCACAAAAGCTCAGCCCCCAGAGTTAGGCTGCCAGGATGCACAGCCACACTCAACTTTTCCCACCAGGTACCCCAAGCCAAGGGACTCACCCTCCACCAGCTTCTGCTTTGTATGTATAAGGGGCTGACAACAGAACCTACCTCGTGGGGGCTTGTGAGGATTAAATGAGTTGCTCTATGTTGAGCAACTGAGTACAGTGCCTGACACATACCTGGATAAGTGGAAGCTCTTATTATTATTATTTGAGCATCAAGTGACTGCCTTCCCTCCTATCCTTCCACCAGCTGGACACCCCAGAGGTGAAGGTCTTGCAGGACAAGCTGGCGGCCACAAATCTGAAGATGAGTGACCTCCGCAACCAGATCCAGTCTGTGAAGCAGGAGCTCCGAATGGCCCAGAAGGTAGGACAGAGCCAGGGGTCAGGTCTTATTATATGGCTGGGACTGGGAAGAGTGTGGCTGGGACAATGGTTTCATTCAGGAGCAGTGCATGCCTGGCCCTGTGGGCATCATGCTGCTTGCTCTGGGTCAGGCTCCAGGTCTGGGGACTTCCTCCCAACAGCCTTTGATACAGACCGTGGGTGAGTGGTTGTGGGCTGCCTGAGGGGCCCTGCATATGTATGCTTGCGGTGGCCACCCGGCCTTGGCCAGAGGAGGACACTGTTACTTACCCAGGGAGAGTCCTTTAAACTTGCTTTGTGCTACGTGTGCCCCAGTAGATCCTGTTCTGTTCTTAATAAGCCACCTTGGTCTTGGAAGCCTGCCAAGACCTGCCTCCTTCCCTCTGCTGTCTGTAATATTAGAAAATGAATAGGTTGTATGTGTATTAAAGGTCCCTTTCAAAGGAAAATACTGAGACTTGGGACGCAGGCCCAGCTGGTTCATTATTTATTTTTATTTACATAATGAATTCTCTGGCACTCATCTTCCCTGCTGGAATCTCTCAGGCCGTCCAAGATTTCCAAAACAGTGTTCTATTGTGGAAACAAGCACAAGAGCCTCAGTACACTAGATTGGGTTTCTGTGACAGGCTTCAGAGGGGCCCAGGGCACCAGCTGGGGGGTTTGGTTTCCACCTCAAAGCCTGAATGTGGGGCCTGAACACCACCCTTCAGTAGTTACAGAGCCGGGCCCTTCTGGAAGCAAACCTTCCCCAGGCCGCAGCCACAGGGCCCCTCGCAGCCTTTCACAGAGGGTGAGGCCCTGCAGTGGTGTGCCTCCCATAGCCCTCCAGGACACTCTTGGTTCCAGGCAACAGCGAACAAATAAAGGGAGCAGGCTTGGGCCAGCTTTGTGGTTGCCCCTTCCAGAGTATGTCAAGAGCAAGGCGTGCCACCTGGGCATTGGCAGCAGTTCCTCATCTGCTCTAAGCATCGCTAAGAAATGCTGGGAGTGTGGGGCTACTGCTTCCGCAGGAAGCTGCCCTGGGCACCTTCCCACACACCCAGCACTGCTTCTGCAGGTGCAGCAGTGTGCAGAGGGCTCTGCTGGGGCCTTTCCTCCTGGCCATACTGAAGGCCTCATCTTTTTCAGGTTTTGGTCAGCGAAGTGGGAGAAGATGTGAGTGTACAGCAGCTTCTGTCCTCACCAGGGACCTGGAGGGGTCGGGCTCAGCAGATTCTCGTTTTGCAGAGTAAGGTGAGTGAGCTTCTCCTCACCCTGAACAAAGGGCTTGCAATGCCCCAGACCGGCCCACACTGACCCACGTTAGAGACACAAAACCCATAAAGGGCCTTAAGGCACTGTAGAGTGCATTTTCAGGGCTATTGTGTTACATTCTCCTCAACCACCTTGATTTTTGTTACATAATGAACAAGCACTTATGTAACACTACATGCCAGGAACTGGCATTCAACAAATGCCAAAGGCTTTGATTTATTTTACTCTAGGCATATTTTTCCCTAGTTCATGTAAATTTGCGTGACTGTTGTACTTACAGGATTTTTCCAGTTTTGTCCAGATGCTTTTAGACTTTTAAAGCTTTTAATTACCTAATAAAAACTTACCCTTGTCTCCTCTCTATGTTCTAAATATTTTGGAGCACCCCTAGAGGCGAAGAGCCAGGGCTCACGAGCCAGAAGGCTTGGATTCAAATCCCAGCCCTCCATTCCCCAGCTGAGTGGCCTTGGGCAAGTGACTTCATGTCTCTGTGCCTCCTTGGTTTCCTCGTCTGTCCTCTGTGGGTAATGATAGTACCTACCTCACAGGGTTGTTGGCAGGACTGAATGACTGAGTATGTGTAAAATGCTCTACACAGTGCCTGGCATGTGCAAAGATTAGCTGTGGTTATTTTCCTTTTTTGCCTTCCAATCTAGAATCATACAAGAAAGTATGTAACTTCCACTATTTGCAAGACACATTGCCTTCATCCCCAGGGACTTCAGGCTCACAGTTCCTGTGTGGCTTCTATCCTCAGGGTCTCCTATGGGATTCTTGATGCCAAAAACAAGGGGGGAAAGTCTCCAAAAATATGTTATTAATGACCAGTGTGTGGCCTGTTGTTCAAGAGACCTTAGTTTGAACCTGGCCTTAGTCACCACTGGTCTAGTTTGGGGACACTGGGCAAGTCACCATCTTTCTGTGCCTGTCTTCCTCACCTGTGAAATGGAGATAATAATACCTTCCTCATAGGATAGTTGTGGGTAAAATGAAATAGCAAGTGTAAAGCACCCAGCACAGTGCCTGGCCATCACACACACTCAATACATTAGTTATTTTTAAGTTGTGTAAATAGAGGTAATATGAAGTAATACTATCTTTGCTAAATGGAATTACCACACAGTGCCACACAAAGATGCTAAAATGTGCTTTCAAAGCCATGCTTTTGCCCTTTACCAGTGGTCCCAGTGAATTTTGCCCTGGCTCATGTTTATCTAACTCTGTTCCATCATTTTTGTTGTGTCAACATGGAAACCAGGGTTGGAAGGACCCTAAGAGCTCTCCAGTTCAACCCCATTGTGATGAAGCCATTGTTTTGTGGAATGGCATCTACCTGCTGCTTGCTGAGAACCTATGAGTGCTGGACTCTGTGCTGAGGTCGTCACCTAGTTCATCTTGGAATTTCTCAAAGTTGCCTAATCCTAAAAATTACCTGCAGCACTCGTTTAAAATGCAGGTCTCAGGTCCTTCCCTTGGAGCTGAGTTGGTGGTGTGGAGTAGACCTCAAGATTTGTCATTCTAAGAAGCAGCTTGGCAGTTCCCAGGCACAGACAGGTTCAGGATACTGAATCCTCATAATAACATTGTGCAGGGTGTACCCTTAGGTGCATTTCACAGATGAGGGACCTGAAATTCAGAGAGATTAAGCAACCTGTGCACAGTCACACAGCTGTGAGGCTTTGGGCTGGTCTCTCAGCTTTCAAACCCTGCCCTCCCTCTCTAGTATCTTGTGCAAATGGCCAGGAATCTGTGGCCTCCTAAGGAGCCCAGCCATCATGGGTGGTCTCTCTGCCAGGGAGTTCTTTCCTGTGCTGAGATCCTCTATCCTTTCCCGCTGAGGCTCCTGGAGACATGCATCTGCTCCTGAGCCTCCAACAGCCCCTCAGAGATGGGGTGATTTTTCTCATCTCCAGGTCTAATCTCCCCAGTGTTATCCCCTGTTTTGCTCAAGATGCCACCTCAGATTCCCCCCATGCCCCAGTCCCCCGCATATGGGGCCTCCACATCCATGTGGAACTGAGGTGTCCTCTGTCTAGTGGGGCCCCCACTGCACCTCAGGGCATACCCTTGGAAGGGCTAAGTCTGCGAGTGCAGAGCCATTGTGGAATGATGAGGTTTAACACCATCAGGTCCGAGAGCTTGAGAAGCAGCTGGGACAGACCCGGAGCCAGTCTACGGGGACAACCAGTAATGAGCTGTCTGCCTGTCCAGACCTAAGGAAGCTGTCAGCACAGGAGAAAAACCTCCTGAGGATCCGCAGCCTGGAAAGGGACAAACAGGAAGGCTGGGAGGTAAAGTCTGCCCAGGGAAGAGTTGGCTGGGCACATGGGACCAGGAGACCCTGACTGCCCTGAGGGGACTCTGAGGCCCATGTGGTCAGAAGCTCTGAGCCGGCCCTTAGGGGAGGGAGGTATGTGGGGCCTGGGCCACCTTTGCACACAGCCCTTGCATCTTGTTGGCCCAGCTAGAGGGGCCTGACTGGGACCTCACCCTCAGCCCATTTCATGGACTTTGGGTGGCTCCATCCTGGCTGCTTTGGAGATGCTGGACCTGAAACTTTCATTGTGGAGGGAGAGGGAGAGTGTCATAACCCTGGAGGTGTAGTAGGGTTAGATGGGACCTAAAGGAGGAGAGTGCCAGGCTGGTGAAAGAGGTGGGCAGGCTGCTATCAGCAGCATGTGCTGCATCTCTCTGGCTGTACCAGGAGTGTCAGAAACCAACCTCTACCAGGCTTACGCAACAAAGGGAATGTATTGGCCCATGTAGAGGAACAGTCTAGAGTTGGCCTAGCTTCAAGCGCAGATGGATCCAGAGATCTGGGATTTGATCTCAGCACCACTTTCTTCCTGACTGGCTTCACTCTCTCCCATTGGGACTCCGGGTAATCCCGGCTTCCTCCAGCCCATCCCCCACAGTCAGAGGATTCCTCTTTCCCAGTGATTCCAGCAAAGTCCCAGAACTGAGTGTCAGCAGCCAAGCTTAGGCCCTGCGCCATCCATGATCCATTTTCTGTGGTTCAAGGTGCAGGATGCTTTACCTGGTTAAGCCTCAGAAGCCTACCCCTAGATCTGGGACTGAGTCAGCCATCTGAAATGTGGCCTGAGGGTGCTGAGTAGAGGCTTTCTCAAAGAAAGTAGAGGAAGAAGCAAGAGGAGGTGCTGGCATGCCAAAGAGACCAACTTCAGTGGCCCTGGCAATGGGCTTCCTAATAGTTAGACCTTACCTTTCCATTGGGAGACTTCTATTTGGGATGCAATTTAGGGCGAGGCCCTGTGCCGGGAACATTGTACCCATTGCCATATTGTCCCTTCCAGCACTCTAGACCAATAGATGGGAGAAGGGGAACAGTGAGACTGGAGAGGGAGGCAGGGCCAAGTCCTGCTGGACCTTGTGTGCCAGCCAGGGATTTGGGTGTTTTATTTGGAAGGCAATGGAGAATCCCCAAAAGGTTTTAAGTTATGGAGGGACATGGCCAGCTATGTATTTTGGAAAGGTCACCTGGTCAGACAGGGTTTGGGGAGGGGGCTGGGTTAGAGGAGACACGGAAGGCAGAAGCAATAATCCACTGGAGACATGGCTGAGGACCTGCCCCAAGACAAAGGCTAGACACCCAGAACATTGGGAGTCGGCTTCATAGGCTCCACGAGCCCATTGTGGAAGGGGCAAGGAATGGGAAGAATTACGAAGGACTGCCAGTGAGCACAGCAGGTAGAGTGGGGAGGCAGGGAGTGGACCCAAGGGACATCGGAGTTGAGATTTGAAAATGCTGAGTTCAAGATGCACCTGGCTCAGACTTAACATTCACACAAAACAGAATATGTTGGAATCGCTGGCCCAACTATAAACCACAGTGCAGGTAAAAGGAAATGATTTCCTGTGTGCATTTACTCTGCCAGCATTCACTAGAGCCTGGCGTGGGCGGACAGCAGAGCAAGAGGTGAACAATGGCTGCCATCCTGAAAGAGCTGTGGTCTTGTAGAGTATCATCTTTCACTATTTCTCATTTCTATGATTTACTTCATCAAGGATCTGACAGTACTTTTCCAGTGCTACTTAACCCTCAATACCAAATCAGATCATGTCACCCACGGCCCCAAACCCTCCTTGGGGTCTCACCCTTGGCTCTGAGGGCTTACTGGATCTGGCTCTGCCCTGCACTCACTGCGCTCTGGCCACACGTGTGCCTTTGCTCACCTCCTTCAGCCTGCTCAGGTGCCACCTTTACAGGGAGGCCTTCCCTGACCGTGCCATTGTCTCCCCTTTCCTTCCCCCACTTTCCAGTTAGCACCTGACACCATTGGACACCTGCCTTCCCCATGAGGATGTCAGTTCCCTGGAGACAAAGGTTCTGTCTGTTTTGGCCCCTTTTGTATCCCCAGCACCTGTACCAACGCCAAGCCCATAGTGGGCTCTCAGGAAATATTTGAGAATGAATGGGTGAAAGCACATGCAGTACCTGAGTCTCCTGTCTGTAGCCGGTGTGCAGTCTGGGCTGGGTGCTGGATGTGCTGGAGGAAGTGAGAGGATGGAGTGGTGGGCGGATGTCCCTCTCACTCTAGCTCCTGGCGGGGGAACCCTAGGCTGAGTGTGCACTAAAGCCTGGCTTTTCTTCTCTCCCTAGCTCAGGCAGGGACTGAGGGGTGGGGCTAGCCATGCTGTCTGGAAGACACACCAGAGTTGGCCAGTGTCTGACCCTGGCAGAGCAGAAGCAGCTGCTTGGACCCCCTGTGTTCCCAGGCTGAGGGAGGAGCACTGCCATTTATCAGTGTCATCTGCCATGCGTTCAGACCAGGACAGGAGGCTGCCAGCCCACCTGACACCCCTGAGAGGCCTGGGCTGTGACCCAGGGCCCCTGCTCTGTTGACTGGCTCCTCAGCGAGTCCCCCCACCTCTCTGGGCCTCACCCTTAAGTGGGAGTGAGAGACCAGATGTGGCTGAGGTCCCACTCAGCCCTGCTGCCCATAACTGCACATTCTGATTACAGAAGCTTGTGGGTGAGCGGGATGCCCTCCAGAGAGAGCTTGAAGAGCTGAAAAGGAAGGCTGAGGGCACGAGGTCACGGAACAAGGTGCTGTCAAGCGAAGTGAAGACCCTCCGGAGTCAGATGGGAACCCTGGTGGAGAAGGGCAGGCACGACGACGAGCTCATCGATGCCCTCGTGGTACGAAAGGCCCCGCCCCAAGCATGGCCCCCGCTGCCCACACATGTGACCCAGCAGGTCAGGGTGAGCTCTCACTTGCCCCGGGACACCACCTGCGTGACCCAGAAGCCCACTGCCCCCAAGGGGTCCCAGCCCCACACCCCATCATGGGGCGGGAGCAACTCCGAGGCCACCCAAGCATGTGCAGAGGGAGGCGGCTGTGATGTGGCCCAGCTGTACGCGAGTCACTGAATGTGTGGACCCCGAGGGAGGAAGAAGTGGAGAAGGGGAAGGAGATGGGGTCACACCCTGGGTTATTTTTCTTCAAGGAATGGCAGGGACAACCGAGGGGCCAGCAAAATCTCTTGGTGTGACAACGAGAGGCCCCTTCCTCCTGGGCACTTGGGCTGTGGCTTTTAATAGTCACCAAGACAACCCCTAGGATCTTATAAGCCCATTTTACGGATGGGGAACCTAAGACTCCAATTAGTTAGCTGAATCATCCGAGACGATACAACTGAGTTGGCATCAGTGTTACTTGACTGCAACACCTTCCCTCATTAGCTAGATTGCACTGCTTTCCTGACCCTAGCTGGGTCTTGTCTCTCCAGGATTTTGGTCTCCGAGTTCCAGATTGTGCCCACGGGCCCCGGGGGTGGTCATGCCAGGTTTGGCTAGGGTGCACAAAGGAACTGGCCCTGGCACTACCTTAGTCCATAATAATTTCACCATGCCAAGCCCAGAAGACTTGACATCTAGGCCTGCCTCTGTGGATACCTCCCTGTGAGATTCTAGGCCAGTTGCTTCTCCTTTCTGAGCCTCAGCTCCCAGTTTTTATATAAGGCCTGGGGCTGGATGTTGTCAGAGGTCCCTATGTGCCATTTTCTGTCCTGAAGAGATGGCATGATGAGAGCCACAGACCAGCCCCTAGCCCTGCCATTCACCAGAAGTGTGTCCTTGAGCTCTCAAGGCCTCAGTTTCTTCCATGTGAGCTGAGGACAACAGCCCCCACCTGTTCCCCATCACTCACATGGTCCTTCCTGCTGGTCCCCAGGCAGGAAGCCTCCACCAGTCCAGTGCTATAGGATCCCTAACAAGAGATCCAGGTACTGCCTTGAGGGCAGTCTTCCAGCAGAGTGGACAGGGCTTCTTTTTACCCAAGTATCTCCCCCACTGGCGAAGGGGCCACCAACTGAGCTTTCTGCTGTCCTGAGAGACCCTTGGATATCGTTCTTAGCCCTGATCTCAAGGAGCAGGAAATTGAATACAAGAAAAGGGCATGGTCCCCACCTGCCTGGTTGACCCCCCAACACACACACCAAACCGAGGGCAGGTGAGGATGGTGTTCCTCCTGATCCTCAAGGGAACAGGGAGGTCCCACTGTTAAGTCCCTGTAGGGGCAGGAAATGGTGTTGGGGCAGGCAGTCTCCTCTTACCCTGCCTTGCCCAGGGGCCATGGCTAACCCTCACCCACTCTCCTGCCTGGCCCTCCAGAACCAGCTGAAGCAGCTGCAGGAGGTTCTGAGCAGCCTGAGTCTGCAGGAGGAAAAGGCATGGGCATCCCAGCACCACCTCGGCCAGCAGCTCAACAACGAGGCCCAGCGGAGCAGCAGCCTTGTCGCCCAGCTGCGGGCCATGGTGGCTGAGCGGGAGGCCAAGGTGCGGCAGCTGGAGGTGGAGATCAGGCAGCTCAGTGTACAGGTGAGTAGATGCTGGCATGGCCTGCATCCGTTTCCATGCAAGTCCATCCACCGGAAAAACCCTAGCAGCTTCCCCTTCCTTCTACCTGCCTTCACTCAGACCATACCACATTCCACCTGGTCGACTTTGGCCCTGCTTCAATCTGGCCTCCTGGCTCCACCTGACTCCCCAGCCCATTCTGCACACGCCTTTCCTCTCTAATGTACAAACCTGATTGTCTCCCTGCTCTGTGTAAAGCCTCCCATCACTCTCAGTCTCACCCAGCCCTCAAGGTCCAGGTTCCTTTCAGTTCACCTCTCCCTCCCCAGCTGTGGCCTGCATCCTGATTATCCAAGAAGGTAGCTACAATGCCAGCCTTCATATCCACATTCCAGGCAGCAGGATGGCAGGAGGGAAGCCATACTTTTTCATCTAGCTTGCAGAGCTCCGTGCAGCTACCCCTTGCTGCCCCCGCCCCTGTGCCTTCTCTTTACCCCTCCCTCTCCCTGACACTCCGGCCCCGTGGACACCATTCAGCTCCTCACATGGCCCTGCTTTCTCTCTGCCTCAGGCCTGTGTACAGGCCTGAGACACATTCCTTCCCTCTCCTCCCCCATGCCTCTGCCTGGCCAACTGCCCTCAGCCATTGGGTCTTACCTAGTCATGAAAGGGGGCAACAGGGTGTCCATTTGTGCTGCGTGCCCCTCCTGGGCACTCTCCTTACTCCCTGTGCATCGCCAAGCCAGATGTGGTCATTCCCCTCTTTTCTCCTTGAGGGGGCACACAGTATGGTACCCCGGTGCCTGGCACAGGACTGGGAACATGGTAGAGGCTCAGCCGTCCTGAGCGAGGGGGCTCCTGAAAGCGCAGCTGGCTTGAGGGCACCGCCTGGGCTGCCAGGAGTCAGGCGCCATGGGCTCTCTGGGACTCCTTTCTGCGGTGGTGGCGGTGGTGCTGCTCAGAGAGGAGGGGATTTGGTGGCCTCTGGAGGGAAAGATTCTTTGACAGGCTCCTCACAGCCAGGTGGAATGGTACAGACAAACGCTTGCCACAGAGCAGCCCTGCCCTTTGTTCCCAGGGATCCGTGGGAGCCCTGGAACCCCTAGGCCCCAGCCTGAGGCTGGTGCTGGTGGTTTATCCTGCTGCTGTCTGTCCCCAGAGGCCAGGACAGCCACAGGACTGACTGTGGTAGAAAATGCTGAAGCCCCCAAGGCTGAGGGAGAGGCCAGGGGAATGAGGAAGGCCTGGGCACAGAGTGTGTGTGGTAGTGAGGGGGCATTGCCTTGCTGTCCTCACCCTGCTTCCTCCTGCGGCATGAAGTCTGAAGGAGCAATGGGCACAGGCCAGCCGCTTCACCTCCCCGCTGTCCTGGCGCCCGGCACACACAAGAGGACTGACCCTTACCGACTGGGGGCCAGGGTCACCCAGCAGACAAGGTGACATACACCGCTAGTTTTCTCATCATGGGTGGGGCTGGGGGAGCTCACCCCGACTGCCTACCCCTCGATGGCAGCCTGGCCGCCTGCCGGGAGCCCTCCAGTGTTCCTTCCTCAGCCTGGCCTTACCAGCTGTCCAGAAGAGAGAGGCTCAAGTCTACTGGCCCTTGCCGAAGCCTTGCCAGCCTCTCTGGTTCTGGGTGTCGGGAGGTCTAAGTGTCTCCGTTCAACAAAGGCAGATCGCCTCAAGTCACACCTGGCATCCACCCATGTGTGGATGGGCTTCCCGCAGAGGGGGACCCGCACAGGATGTCAGTCTCTGATGGGGCCCACATCAAAGGACACGTACTTCCCTTTGGGATCCAAACGTAGAACAGCTTCCTGGCCCTCACCACCCCACACCATGTAGCTCCCTTTCTGAAGACAGGCATTATTAGATGTCATTATCATGCAAGGGGTGCCTTCACCAAACAGGCCTGGCTTTTCACTCCTGAAAAGAAGCCTCTTTCATACCCCTAAAAGCCCCAAAGCCAGGCCAAGGCCCCCTCCTGCCTTCTGCAGGCCTCTGAACTGAAGCCCTGAACATCGAACCTGTGTTTGTTCCCTGCAGTATCTTCGGAATAAAGGAGTGGGTGAGGGGTCCCATGGGCCTGAGGTCAACCCCGCCTTCACCAAGTTCCTGGAGGACCCAGGCCTGACCAAGTCCCCAGCCTCAGCAGGCGATCACGTTGGCAGGGTTGGATCTTCTCGGTAAGAAAAAAATGGGATAGAAGGGTAGGAAAGTGAATATTAATTTTTCAGAAGAAAGGCTGCCTCTGATGGGAAGGCATAGGTGCAGTTTTAAGATGACTGTGGCATTGTCCTTTTACTATATGGGCCTCTCATAGTCCATCAGCCTGCATCCCATGAGAGCCGGTTACTGCAAGCATGTTTGGGTGCAGCCCCCTGTAATATCCTCTCCAAGCTGGCCTCAAAATGCACCTGCTCCTGGGATTCTCAAACAGACCCATGTTGGGCTGTCCAAGGCTCTGTCTCCTGGTCTGTCTCGTTTTGACTAAGCAAGAGTTCTGGAGAGAAGGGCAGGAAATCCACAGAGCTGCCCAGGCAGGGCTGCTGTGAGGGCCAACACTGGGCTCCCCAGATCCCTGCTGGTCCCTGCTGGTCCCTGCTCCCCTTCCAGCTGGGCACATGCAGAGACAAGGCCCAGTGTGGCCGGTCTGCCTTCCCAGGGTCATGAGCCCCTTCTGCCTCCACACAGCTCTCTCACCAGCCTGGGCCATACTCTGGTGGAATCGGTTCTCACACGGCCTTCCCTGCCCAGTCCTCATGTGTCTTCACCCAGGTATGAACCCAGAACACCCCAGCTCTCACAGTCCTTCCTGTCTCTGTCTTTGATTGCTTAGCTAGTACTGCCATACCATTAAAAGGAGAGGAAATTTCCAGTGATTCTTCCAAGGTTACCTAGGACACAGAGGGTCAGGGAGGTCCAGTGCCTTGTCCAAGGTAGTAGAGCAGGTAGCCTCAGAACCAGAGCCTTGGCCTCTGACTCAGTCTAGTGTTCCTTTCTGCTAACCCAGAGTCAATACAAGGCATCTTGCAGGATCTAAAGCCCAGCTCCTCTATTGCCTACTCTTGCCCATTGAGAATCAGTCTTTAGTGGGAGAATTTCATATCGTATTGGTTCCCAGTTTAAGCCACTGACATCCCCTCAGTTCTCTGGACCCCTCTTTGTTTTCAGATTCAAGCCTTAGGCTTAAATGGGCCCTTTGTTCTTCCTGCCAGCTCACAGATAAATGGTGGCTTTGTCCTGCCTCTGAGCCTGGCCCAAGTCTGACCCGCTGGCCGCTGGAGCCATGCTCCGGCTGTCAGCCCCGATCCCGCCCCTCAAGCAGGTCAGCCCAGGCTCCTGTCAAAGCCTCTGAGCGGCCCTGGTCTCCTGTTTGACTTGCTGTGTGGTTCCAGGCAGATCAGTCCTCTCTGAGGTGCTGTTTCCTGAGAAGTGCCCAAGACCCTTTTAGCCTGACAGTTGGCAGCGCAGGGATCTTGGGCCACGGCTGGCCCCACAGCTGCCCCACTCATCAGCCTGGGGTCACAGGGGCACCTGCCACACTTCCAAAGGTATCCATCAGGGCAGCAATGGCGACTCTAATACGGTACTGGAAGTAGGATGAGCTGGAGGGGACAGGCCACTCCTCTGTCTGCCCCCTCCCTGTAACAGTCGTGAAGGTAACTAGAGCAGGGCTCTCTGACCTGCAGTGTGCACAGACCGCCTGGATATCTGCCAGGTTGCACACAGGCTCAGATCCAGCAGGTCTGGGCTAGAGACTGGGAGTCTGCATGTCCAACCATGATTCAGAGACCACACTCGGAGCAGCAAGGCCTGGAGAGTACACTTAGGAGGCGGTGCTCAGGGCCCTCCACCACCAACCCCTTCACTGTTCCAAGGGGAGACTGTCATCCAGAGGGGGAGGAGACCTGCAGAGACCACAGAGTCAGCCTCTGGGCTCCAGGCCCTTGCCCTGCCCTCCCCGTCTCCTGGGATGCTGGAAGAGCAAGTCTAGGGTTACCAAGGACTCACTGGGAAAGCAACGTGGGACTCACATGTGGGCTCTGGGGTGTCGGGGCAGGGACAGAGCTCACCTTCTGTCCTGGCCCCAGCTGGCAGGGAAGGGGCTGGTAGGCAGGCCCGGTCGAAAGGAGAGAAGCATCAATGGGCTAGATCAGGGCTGGAAAATACCGACCAAGTTGCAAGACCGAGTGTCCAGGCTCCAAGGAAGTGGACTGGGCTGGGACTAAGCCAGGAGAAACAGGAGGACTGGGACAGGGAGCTAAAGGCCAGGCCCACCTGGCACTGGGCAGAGTGGCCAGGTCCCAGGCCACACAGGTACCCAGGGCACACCAGGTCTCCAAGAGCCAACTTCCATAGCAACCAGCCTAATTGCAGGCCCTACAGGGATTAGATGGACAGAGGCACTGATACAACTGTCATAGTGGTGGGTCTGGCTGTGGAGCCAGTAAGGGAGGTCTAGAGACTTCTGTAGGCCTGGAATGATGGGCTGAGGAGAAGCAAGAAGAGAAACACCAGGAGGACTCGGCGGGATGGGGTCACTTCCTTCTGTCTGTCTGCCTCTGGGGACCCTGCAGGTCCTTCCAGTCCTTTGCATCATCACAGTGGTAATAATGTCTTCAGGTAACTCTTCCAATGACCTCTGCCCCTGACCCTGGTCCCCAGGTTCTCGAACTCCCCAGAACAAAAAGGCTGGCAGGCACAGGTGACAGAGTTCAAGGCCCTCTGGCAGGCTGCCGAGGTGGAGCGGGACCGGCTCACCGAGTTTGTCTCTGTCCTGCAGAAACGGTAACATATGGCACCCAGGGACACACTCTTGTGGGTTTCTGTGGGCTGGGGAACAACCTGGCACAGGGGCATCCCTCCTGGGGGGGCGGGTTCAGCAGCCTGGCACAAGGTTACCCCTCTAGGGGCCAAGCCTCATCCATGAGTGGGTCTGCCTTCCTGGAGAGTTAGGCTCCCACCGTGCTGGCCCATGGCATTTGCAGCCACAACTCATGTGCCCACCAAGTGCCCACAACCTTGGGGCCCTGTCCTCACACTTGTGGCTTGCCCTATCCTATGTGCACCCAGTACGATTGTTGCATGCATGTAGTCATGAGGTGGGAGTCTCCAGGGAGAGGCTCTCTGGAGTGGTTAAATCAGTCAGATCAGCCACCCCAGTAATTTAAATCTGTGATAACTGTACTTGGTGCTGTTGGAGGGGTGGTGGGAAGGAGACACAGGCTAGACCGACATCTGGAATTATAAAGAGCAGGATAGCTGGAAAGAGGAGACTTCTCTAGGGAGGGGAAGGGAAGCATGTGGCCCGAGGCAATGGACCAGTAGGTATGGTTTTCTCCAAGGGGTTGTTGACAAATTTCCAAGTCAGATAAATCAGTGTTGCTCAAGTGACCCTTCTGGCATGAATTGGAGGTGCCCAGGCCAACACACGGCCTAGCCATGTGATCTCCACACTGAAAAATATAAAGGACATTACTGAGATTCTGCCCTAACAGAGCATGTCAGTCAGGACTCTCTGGTGACAGACAATAGAAACCAGTTCTGGCTAAGGTAAGGGAATGGCAGATTTGGGGAGGTGCTGGCTGACTCCAAGGTGCAGGGCAAGAGAGGAGCCCAAAAAGGCCCAGGAATCTTGGTAGCAGGAGCCCTTGGTTGGCCTCTCCTGGACCACAGAATGACACGGGCCTGGGGGCTTTCAGGTCTTGTACCAGTGGGTTCCCAGCTTTCTCACAAGTCCATCCCTGGACACAGGCAAGGCTCCTTGACAAAGTACATCCAGGTGCTGGAGTACTGTTACCAAAGGAGTTTGGGGTGCTGGGGAGTGGCCAGTGGATGGCCACTACCTATGCAGTGAGAAGTGATCAGCTTTAATTGTTTTCTTTCCATGGAGTACATAGAATATGAATTTCAGACATACTCAGGTACATGAGAAAACTAACATTAATTATTTTTCCATAATGGAAACGTAATGGATAGTATAAAGCCCCTAATCTATCAAGTGGGAGAAACATACTCAATTTAGGCTTTCTCTCCCATTTCCCTTGAGTTGCACCTGAGTTTGGGGGTTTTGTGAACCAAGGTGACTCAGTTATCTCTTGCTGTGTAACAAATCATCCCAAACCAAGTGGCTTCATGTGCAGTGGTCTATCGTCCTTGTGATTCTGTGTGTTGCCTGAGTGATTCCACGCCACTTAGTGCTAGCAAGGATTGCTCATATGGCCCCATTCAGCTGGAAGCTCAGCAAGACTGCCTCTATTCTCCTTTCCATGGCCTCTCTCTCCATGTGGTATCCCATCTTCCAGGGCCTCTCTATACAGTGCTGGGATTAGGGTGAGACAAGCAAGGCACCTAGGGCACCAAACTTAAGGAGGTGCTTCTCAGAGTCACACAAGTGATCGCCTCTCAGCTGATACCCTTGACCTTTTTGGGTTCACTCAGCTGCTCCATGTCATCTTAGGGTATAGGGAAGCTCTCTGGGGCCCTTCAGCCAAGGGTTATGGCCTTTTCTACTCCGAGACATTGCTATCTCCCTGGGCTCTAGCAAGGGGACTCAGACCCCCTCTTTACTCAGATCCTTCCAAACCTATTTGAATTTCTCACCCCAAAGTACAGGATCTTCCTTGCAAATGGATCCTCAGTATTTATTGCTTTCTTTATCTGGAAAGTCCATTCCTGTCTTCACCAAGGGAGGGCTTTCTCTGCATAGCTTCCCCCTCTCCTACTCTGCCTTACCAATTCCATTCTACTTCAGCTCCACCCAGCAACGCCCCAGTCCCATGACCCTACCCCTTCCCTTCAGGGCCCTTGGGCTGAAAGCAATGTAGAGCCTGTGTCGTTTGCGTCCCTTCTCTCAGGCCTGTGTCCAGTGTTCAGTGTCTGTTGTCCTGTTGTCCTGCTGTTCAGTGTCTGAAGACAATGTATTTCTTATATGTTACCTATTTTCCTAGTTGTTTACAATGGGAGGGGCTAGTCTGGTTAATCTGCCATGACAGAGGTCACTAAATATGTCTCTTTAAAAAACACATAGAGTTTTAAATTCAATTTGAAAATTTGTGTTTGAATAGTAGAGTTTAATCCATTTTCATTTTTGTAATATTTGGAAATGTTTTGATCACCTTAATATTTTCTATTTGCCATAATTTTTCTTTGCCCCTTTTTCCCCATTCTTCTTCCTTATGTTGGCTAGATCAAGTTTTACTTCCCTGTCTTCTCTGCATTCTATCTCCATATTCTTTAGTGGTATCCTTAATTTTTAATATAAAACACAGCAAGCCTAAAGTCAGTGGGTTTTTTCCTTGTCACTTGAAGCAACAGAGTAAGTTTAGAATGTTTGCCCTCTGATTTTCCTGCTTGTGTTTTTTCATGTTACTGTTTTCTAATATTTATCTTCCACATTCTTTTTTTAAACCCTCTTAAATTAACCCTCCAAATCTATCTTTTAAAAAACACATTCAGTATTCATTTGCTTTTGCCAACATGTTAAAAAATGTCTTCCCTCACTGTTGCTCCTCGCATCTCAATCTTTCTTCTGGGTTCAGTTTCCTTCTTACTGAAGTGCATCCTTTTAATTCAGGTAAATTCTCTTGAGTCTTTGTATTTTTAAATGTCTTCATTATACCTTTCCCTTTAATAAGAATTTGGGCATAAAATTCTAAATAAATGGGTAGTTTATCCTCAGCACTTGGGAAGCTATGATAGTCCATCATTTTTGAGCAGTCATTGTTGATAAAAAATAAATCTGCCATCAATTTGATTTTTGTTCCTTTGTAGATATGTTCCTTCTCTCTAGATGCTTTTTCAGATACTCTCTGTCTTTGATATTTTGAAGTTTCACTATATTTTTATTTCATTTTATTTTACCTACTTAGGAAAGAGGTGTGCTTTTTATCTATATGCTACCAAGGACTTAATCTATATGCTACCAAGGACTTCTCTCCGTAAACTGTATCTCTCCCATTGTCCCTGTTTTTTTCATGTAAAACTCCTTGTCAGTATATGTAAGGCCTTCTTATTCTTTCCTGTACAACTCTTATTTAAGCCTTCTTAATATTTTGGGCCAGTTACTTGGTAGGTTCTTCAAATCCACCTGCCAGCTTACTGAATCTCTTCAGCGGCACTTCATCTGCCATGAAGCCTATTTTTTTCACCAATCCCATCATTTTCCATTTCTAACATTTCTTTTTTATGTAACACTTTCTGTTCTCTTTTTCAAGTTCTTAAAATTTCTTGCTTTTCTCTTTTTAATAAACTTATTTAGTCCCTTTAAGGTTGCTCTGTCATCTTCATTACTGTTGACACCCCTTCATTGTGATTATTTCCCTATCTGGTTTGTATTTTTGTGTTGTTTTTGTAAGCTTGTCTTTAATATTTGTTTTTTTTTCTTGGAGATTCATGAAGGTGCTCCTGTACAACAGTTGTGCTTTTGTTTCTGTAGAACTTTGGGGCTTCACTGGTCCCAGTCAGTACTTGATACTATTTTGTTGGTTTAGGGTTTCCTGGCCATATGGGAGCTCACCTTGGGTTTCAGTTCTCTCCTGAGCAGACCTCTTTCCTCCCCTCTTACAGCCCAGGCAGGCTGCAAGCATCCTCACTGCCCAGTCCTCCCAGAGTAGACAAGTCACTCTTTTGAAGTTCAAGAATTATGCCGAAAACTCTCTTCTAGTTTGCTGCCTTATAGAAGCCAAAATTTGTATCTTCTGCCCTCATATTTGCTTTAAAACCCTCCCTTACATTACTGGAAGTTTTATGTCCCAATCTCCAGTTCTTCATTCCTCACAAAAAAGAACTGTTACAACTTCCAAAATGTAAACGGACAACTTTCTAGAAAAATATAACCTTCCAAGGCTGACCCAGGAAGAAACAGAAAATCTGAATAGACCAATTACCAGTGAAGAAATTAAATTGGTAATCAAAAAACTATCTAAGAAAAAAACGCTTGGACCAGATGGTTTCACTGCTGAATTTTATCAAACATTTAGTGAAGACCTAATACCCATCCTCCTTAAAATTTTCCAAAAAGTAGAAGAGGAGGGAATACTCCCAAACTCATTCTATGAGGCCAGCATCACTCTAATACCAAAACCAGGCAAAGACAACACAAAAAAAGAAAATTACAGACCAATATCCCTGATGAACATAGATGCAAAAATACTCAACAAATTATTAGCAAACCGAATTCAAAAATACATCAAAAAGGTCATCCATCATGATCAAGTGGGATTCATCCCAGGGATGAAAGGATGGTACAACATCTGAAAATCCATTAACATCATCCACTACATCAACAATAAAAAGGACAAAAACTACATGATCATCTCCATAGATGCTGAAAAAGCATTTGAAAAAATTCAACATACATACATGATAAAAACTCTCAAAAAAATGGGTATAGAGGCCAAGTACCTCATCATAATAAAGGCCATATATGACAAACCCACAGCCAACATTATACTTAACGGCAAGAAGCTGAAAGATTTTCCTTTAAGATTGGGAACAAGGCAAGGATGCCTACTCTCCCCACTTTTATTCAACATAGTTCTGGAGGTCCTAGCCATGGCAATCAGGCAACACAAAGAAATAAAAGGCATCCATATTGGCAAGGAAGAAGTCAAACTGTCTCTCTTTGCAGAAGACATGATATTATACATAAAAAACCCTAAAGACTCCACTCCAAAACTACTAGATCTAATATCTGAATTCAGCAAAGTTGTGGGATACAAAATCAATATACAGATATCTGTTGCATTCCTACATGCTAATGATGAACTAGCAGAAAGAGAAATCAG